AATATTTCCTTATACTCATGTTCACTATGAATCACTAAGGGAGAAAAATATCCCAGTGATCACCAACATTTGGTTCTCCTCTCCCTTTGGAGGAAGGGTTATATATCCCAGCCCCCTTGGAGTTAGGGCCACAGGATTAGTTCTGGCCAATGTGCGGAGCAGCACATTGCTTCTAGGCCCAAGCAGAGAAGAGAGAGTATGAGAACCTATGCCCATTCTTCCCCTGCCTTGGCAATGAATGAGGCTGCCTGTCTGCAGTGGGGCACAGTCTCCCACAAACCAGACTGTATGTCACGTAAGTGGGAAACAAAACCTGGCTATGTAAAGTCGAGTTACACATCAATGAAAGCAAGCTGCCATTTCAAAATCAGATTATCAAACATTTAAGCATCACTAATTTATTCTTTCTGGGGAAAAAAGCTGAACTAAACTCAACTTTAGCATGAATCTTACATATATTCTGGGAAGATATGTTTCAACATGCCCTGATGTGCCTTCTCAAGGACAGGCATGATCTTGATATGCACTAGGATCTGGGACTTTGAAAATCCCACAAAGATTTGTCTTTATAAACATCTTTAAGCTTCATCTTAAATTTGTCAGTCTGCAAGCTTCCCAAGTCCAGGGTGTGAGACTAAGCACCCCAGGTGCATCCAGCTGATCCTGAGGTGATGGGCCAGCACTTGGCCTCTCTGTGATGTCCTGCTGGAAAATCCCAAGCTTTTTTTTTTTTTAATCAATGTAAGGACAAAGAATCGTTTCAAAACAGAACTGCCACTGTCATACTTTGGCGGAGCAGACATTCCCAAAAGATCCAGCAGTGACATGAGATGACTATAAAGGGAATAGAAATGAGTTTGATCCAATGGCAGAAACTCCCAGGGAATGCATTTTAGAAACTTTTCTTCTGAAACAGTTTCAGCACTTGGGTTCTTTCTTTGCTTTGTCTACTCAATTGCTCATCAAAATGAATTGGTCCATGAGCACGTTCTGTGCAAGTTTTCTCAAAAAACATTTCTAAAAGAGAAACAAATCCTACAAACGAAACAGTCTCATGGAAGCACAGTAGCAGTGGGTGAATTTATGGATTTCAGAATGGCAATTGAAAACTATTGTTTTTAAATGGTAATATGTTTCCCAAGTGCTCATTACTTTTAAAGCCCACCTTTGGGAAGGCTACAGAATGATTAGCAGCTACAAATGCTGCCATGTGAAAGCAGAGGACACAGTTACTAGAGCACAATTTTGATTTGGAATTAGAATTGCCCTTGTTGATGAAAATCCTCACAGAAACTGAAACCAGGGAAACAGTGAAAAGGAAAAATCGCCCACATATGGCAATCAGTTTTGACACGAGGCTCATCAATAGCCCAGTCTTTCCAAGGCACATCATTATCTATCTGATCTGCCAAATCCGATACTTAACAACATTGTCTTCAGAGCAGTTGACATAGCCTGGAAAAGTCTATCTTGTAAATCACAAAGAAAGATGACAGGTTTCACAGATCTCATCAGTGATAAAAAGAAGGGAGGCATACAAGAGCAGATGCCAGTATACTTGCTGGCACAATGAACTGAATGAACTATATGTATTTCAAGGAGGAAAAAAACCTCTATATCACAATTTTTATTGAGGCCCAGTAAGAAATCACTGGCTTTTTCTCCCCATGCTAAAATGCCAGATATAGGCAATGGGGAGGAAGGCAGCAAATCACACTGCTATGTGTGTACCTATGCAACAATCTTGCATGTTCTTCACATGTACCCCAAAACCTAAAATGCAAAAAAAAAAAAAAAAACCCACTGGCTTAATCTATTTATCTCAGCTCCTAACTAAACCAAGTTTTTGAAACATAGAGACAAATGATCAGGCAGATGGGATGATTTTGTGGTATAAAAAAGTGGTGTGGAAGGCTGAATCAGGTCAGCAGGGTAGACATGCTGCAGCTTCCTCCACCTACCCCAAATCCATAAAAATAACAAAACTAAAAGAGATTTTTTAAAAAGAAAAGGAATCCACAACTATATGCAAAATAAGTATGTTCTGTGAACCAGAAACTACAAGGAATCCCCAAAAGCAAGAAACAATTGTGGGCAGCTGGAAGGAGGAAACCACAGCTTGAAATACTCAAGGAGAGGACTTGCTAAATATGAAACCAGGGGCATCCTAAGCTCAGAGGTAGCTGATGCTGGGAGCTGGAAATGCCAAGGACAACTGACCTAATGGGTTCAACCAGGCTTCTGTGAAATCAGGCAGTCTGGCCAACCCTTCTACACTTCTCCTACTCGCCAACCTTTGACCATGCAGAGACAGCATAGTATCTATTCCATGATGTGAGTGGTAAGTGTGGACAGTCTCAAGAAGCATGGCAATGTGCCCACGCCAAACCAGGGGGCACTCACATCCAGAGACCAGCTGGTGACAGGCTCATCCCACCCTTCCCTGCAATGGCTCTTTAGAAGTGCTTAGAACTTTAGAAGGGCAACAAATATCCTGAGAAGAACACAAGAATGGCAATATACTTCCATTTAAAAGTATAGCAAACTTAGAAACTAAAATTGCTTTCAATAAAATTAAAAATTCAGCTGATGGGCTGAATGGATACAGCTGAAGAGCAAATCACTGAGCTGGAGCACCAGTTACGTAATTTTTCTAGAAGGTAGTGCAACAAAGAAAAGCCTTAGGGATATATAAAAAACAGAAACAGAAGGGAAAATATATCTAGAAGACTTTTAGAAAAAAGAATAGAGAAAGTGAACAAAGGAATACTAACAACAAATACAAAAGGAAATTTCCTAGAATTCAAAAGATATGTCTGACTGAACAGGATTACCAGAAAAATATCAACTCCTAAACATATTCTGGTAAAATTTCAGAACACCTAAGATGATAAATATCTAATAAATTAATAAATAAATAATAAAAGAAGGGGAAAGGGATTCTAATTAAAATCCCAACATAATCAAGGCACTGATATAAGTACCTACTCAAATGGTCAAAAAGAGTATAAATGACATCCTTCCTTCCCACCTGACCTTTGAGATCACTCCAGGTAACATCAATACCAACACCAAAAATCTGTTCACCCATGCACTGGACCTCTGCTCCACTGCTGTTCACCTCTACCCACTTCAGTGAACTATGTAAATACAGTTCTTTAGATCACTCCTTGGACCTCATCAAGATCTGGAAATGTTCCACTACATTCCTCTCTGCTTACAAACTCCAAACCTACCACACTTACCCTTAAACTGGATTTTTAATTTCAACACTTGCAGTCATTTGACTTCACCCTATTTCCTCAGGCCATCAGGTCAGCACTACTGATTCAACTTCCTTCCCCAATTTGCCTGGATCCCATGGTTATGTCTGTGGCTATTTCACTGGGAGCCTCTATTAATTTTTCACATATCCTTGTGCCATGTCTACCAGTGAATTCTCAGCTAGAATCAACCTATTGCATCATGACAGGTCCACACTCCTGGGCTGCTGAGCCCACTAAGACATGGCATAACCATGTCAATTGCCTCTCTATCCACACATGGATCCTTGATGGCCTCAAAACTGTCTGGCAGTTCTTTCTTCATCTCTGGTCAGTTCCTATTTCCATGCTTCATAGATGTCATCCAAATGTCCGCCATTCTTTAAAAGTTCTCTAGTTGCCCCAAGTCCCCTCACTCCCAATAAAAGACTCAGTATATAATCAGGCTTTTCTTTAAGATATTTTGTGAGCTATTTTATTAGTACACAGGGAGGTATTTTATATGCCAAGGTACAGCAGTTTAGAAAAACATTTTCAATGTAAAACAACATCTCCTTTATCATCAAGATGAACACATCCTTCCAATTGTACTTCACTGTACCAGTAACTCTCCGCCTGAAACTTCCTCCTGCCTTGGCTTCATCCCATCACTCTTCTGGTTTTCCTCCTACTCTTGATCGCTCTTCTCTTTTCACCATAACATGCTCCCTATGTGATTTCATCTACTCCTAAGGCATCATTTATTACTGTCACATGCTGATGGCTCCTCATTTACATCCAACAGCCCAGACTCAAATATCCAAGTGCTTACAACACCTTTATCAGATGTGCCCTACAGAACTCAACCTCAACATATCAAACCAAACTTGTTAACTTTAACCACTCACCTGCTTCTCTACATTCTCTTTTAGTTTATGGAAATATCCACCTAGTTTCTCAAGATAAAAAAAAAATGAACTTACCATTGACTCTTCCTCATCCTTAACCTTCACATATCCTTAACCTTCACATCCTTAACCTTCACTAAGTTCAGGTGATTTTATTCCAAAATGTGCCCCTCATTCTTCATTTCCAATGTCATTACCCATCTCATCTCTCTCAGCTGGACTCACCCCATTATTTTACGCATAACTACACTGATAAGTGGCAACCTGGGCTGCATATCAGAATCACTTGGGGAACTTTTAAAAATCCTAATGCTCAAGGCATACCCCAGACTAATTATATCAGAGTCTCTGAGGGTAGAACCCAGACACCAGCATTTTCTATAGGTCCCAAGTGATTCCAAAATGCAGGCACATTTAAGAATTTTCCAGAATTGAAAACATAAGCCCACAAATTGAAAGTGCACACCAAATACCCAGCAAAAATAAAAATAAAAACAAATCTACAACTAGCCAAATCATAATGACACTGAAAAATGTTAGAGGATAGAGAGAAAATCATGCAAATATCCTAGAGTGAAAGATAGATTACCTACAAAGGAAAGAAAATTATGGTAATGGCCTACTTTTCTGCAACATTAGGTGACAGAAGACAATGAGTTAAAAAATCTTCAAAGTACTGAGGGAGGGGGGAAAAAAAAAACTATGAACCTAAAATTCTACAGCCTGCTAAATTATTCAAGAATGAAATAGACCTTTTCAGATACACAAAGCTAAGGCTCTACTATTCAGACCATCACTGGAAGAACTACCTTACACAGAATATACTTCATTATAAAGGTAAGTGAGCCAATAGGAGTACAGAAGTATTTATTGCTATTAACCAAGTCTGGCTTCTGCCTGGAAAATACAAGATGTATGAAATATACGCATCATTGAGAGGTCCCAATGTCCTTAATAAAGGTAAAACAGCTCAGTGCAAATAAATAAATTTTACATTAAAAGTATTAGCAGGGCTCTGGCTAATTTGAATTGTTTTCTTACATGTTTGTAGAATTTATTCCCAGTTTTCAACTGTGCAAATTTCAATAACTTTAAATAATAAAAGAAAGCACTGCCAATATAGCAATGTTAAAAAGTTTCCCACTTTCTTTCATTGAAAAAAATAGGTTTTATACATTTATATATTTATCAAAATATCAAAACAATTTTATTTTTTGCTATAATTATCTTATTTTCTAGATGACCTAAAAATAATTAAAGAATTCCAATGACAATCATTCAATCTCATCAATACTATATACAGTTGACCGTTGAACAACACGGTTTTCAACTGTGTGGGTTCACTAATATGCAAATTTTCTTCCACCCATGATAGCAAGACCAACCCCTCCTCCTCTTCCTCCTCACCCTACTACTCAGTGTGAAGACAGCATGAGTGAGGATGGTCTACTTCCACTTAATGAATAGTAAATGCATTTTCTTTTCCTTATGATTTTCTTAATAACATTTTCTTTTCCTTAGCTTACATTATTGTAAGAATACAGTATATAATACATATAACCATACACAATATGTGCTTAGCAACTATTTATTATTGGTAAGGCTTCCAATCAAGAGTAGGCCATTTGTAGTTAAGTTTTGGAGGAGTCAAAAATTATACATGGATTTTCAACTATGTGGGGAAGTGGTGCCCCTAACTCCGGTTGTTCAAAGGTCAACTGTATTTCGTTTCTTTTCATCGTTTCTTGGTAACTTCAACCATACATGTTAATTTTATTAGATTAATCCATAGTACCATATTCTAAGACTTACCACAAGGAAGAAAAACAGACTCTTAACCCAGATGATAATTACATATTTAATACATGTTGCTTTTAACAGCAATTTTTTAAGTAAATACATCATAGACCTTATAACTTATTAAAGATTTTATAGTACTTACAAAGTTGATTCTAAAAATATACCTTATTTGTTCTAAATGAATAACATTATCTGGAAGATATAATAATAAATTATAGTAGTATGTTTTCCTCCACAATAGTTAAGATTGTGTGCACATATTCAATATAAAATCCTCTTAGGATTTTCACACCTTCAGCCTGAAAACATAAAAGCAGATTAAAGGTTGGCATACAAGATCTCAGTCTGACAGTAATTGTTTTAAAACTAAAAATTTAAAAATATCTACTCAACATTCTAGGAAAGCATGGGCACATGCACAGACACATTCTCTCACTCACTCACTCCAACACACAGAAGCGTGCACACATACACACATCCCAGAGTACTCAGAAGATCTTGCCCTTGTGGAACAGACAACTGCCATCAATTTCAAAAACTGATGGAAAAAATTAGCTAAGAATATGTTTAAACCATATTTAAGTGTTGCTAGGTGCCATAAAGATCTTTAACATGCAGAGGATGCCACCTCAATACATTCTTAAACAGACTTGAACTGTTCACTAATGGACATATGAATAAGAAATTATGTACCTCATCCACTTCCCAGTCTGCATTTAAGATAAAAAACTAGGCATTCCACTAACAATTAGTCATATGACTGAACCCAGCTAAAGCTAAAGTGGTTTGCTTCATAGAACCCAATAGATGACAGAACCCAACAGAATTAGAAACTTCATTTTGATCTGTTTGGAGTTTCCTATATGCTTCATGTGCAAAAGCAATGAGATTCTGTATTGCAAATGACAGCTAATATCACTTTGCACTTTTGTGGCACTGCAAAAGGTCACTGTATTTCCAAAACATATATTTATTCTAATTAAATACTCTAATGGTCCTTACTTTTTAATTATATAGTGTTCCAAATATAGAACAAAAACAATTTAATGCTGATAATCTGCTCATCACATATACTTCCAGTAAAATCTATCAAAACAGGAAATTATTCTTTGGGCTGTCTCCAGCAATGCAGGTTTGAAACCAGTTCATTTTCACCCTGTATCAAAGCTCTCCAAACTCTATGAAACATTAGAATAGAAGCTAACCACATATTAGGGCACACATACCTCATACTGCTGTGATTAGAATAATAAAAAGGCACAACAGTAAGCTAAAGAGAAAATACCAGCTTCCCATATGCTTTTTGTTTGTTTTTGGCTTTCCTCATTTTATTTCACTAAGTTTACAAATTTTCAAAGCATTCTTATACTCTGCATGACAGGAACAGTATTTTGGCACATTAACATTGTGATACAATGTATGGCATGTTTAAAAAATTAATTTAAAAATTTCATCTATTAATCAACACTTTTTAACGTAGTACATATATATCTTACAGTTATTTAAGTCAAATACATAAAGGTTTGTAACTGATTTACAGATGAAGCAATCACAGATTGCAGTAATATGTGTGTGTATACGTGTATATTTACCCATATATACACACACATCAATCAAGGGAAAAACTGCATCCTGGCAATTTTACAGTCTGAAGTTTTGTTGGTATATCTACCATTTCACATCCTTGTCATCCTGTTTTTCTGTGCAAAAGATATTTTTTTGCCTTCTTCATTCCTGATGAGATTTTTCTGCAATAACTTTACATTCATACTGCAAAAATTAAAAGGTTAACAGATTGAGATTTCTTTTAAATAGCAACGTCCAAATACACTAAAAAGCTCTAAAAATGAACAGTTTATTAATATGTGCCCATTTATTCCTCAAAGAATCTAAGAGTTACATAATTACTATGATTAAATGACAAATGTGACAGGGAAAAAGATAATTCACATTCTGGAAGTGAAAAAGCCATAGTCAAAAGCAGGAGAAACATGAGATTTCTGCATTACAAGCAAACAGTGGCAGTACATGATTTAGAATTTAGATCAATCTTTTAATAGGAAAGGAGGCAAAGTAGGTTTCTTTGAGTACTCAGTAGGGCAAATCAGCAAAGAATAGTTCATGAACTTAAGGACAGGGCTGTTGTGGTGAACTCAGATCACCGTATTTTCAAATCACTTTATAATATAAAGAAAAAATATTTTACATTAACAAAAGCTTCCAGTCAAAATAATATTCTTAAAGTACAGCTATAAAAATGTACACCCACAATTCAAAATAAAGGAAACCAATAGGGTAGGATAATTGGTTGGCTATTTTACCAAAAATACAGCAAAGTAAATCACTCAATTCTCCTAACCTGGCTAAAAAGGTAAAAGTGACAGGATTTATTCATAAAAATGCTGTAGCCTCTGAATGTCACCCCCTAACCCTTGCCGTCCATGACTGGAATTGTCAACAATGTCCTTTTCCTTCATATCTAAAATGATCAAATGTATTGATTTGTTAGAGACAGTCCTAATTTATACCTATTGTAGCAACACAGTTATTAATAGTGACCTTTATAATTTTTAAAACTGTCCCTTTTTGATATAGTGGAAACCTGTAGATTAGTTTTTTAAAAGCCACTAATATCCCCATATGGTGAATAAATCATATTGCCCTATCCAAAACACACTTTGAGCTTTCCTCTCCAGTGGCTCCTCAACTTTTGAAACACCTGTGATTAAAGTCTTCCAAATGATTTATTTCAATGCAAGTGCAAAAGAGAAATCAAAGAATGTTGTCTTCACAAATTGCTTTCCTTTAAAGGACTACCATTTAGAGAGAATTCGTCATACATCTCATTCAGAAAAGTGATTAATAAGCATCACCTTACCATTGCCAGTTGCCGACCAATATTTCCCATTGTTATGCCTCCAGCAAAAAATATACATGGTAACCAAGAACGAACATAGAGGAAATCTGGAGATGTATATCTGGAATAATAGACATGTCTTTAATACCCACACAGCAACTGCAAGGACACTTAAGATCATTACAATGAAAACAAACTACTCTGTAGATTAAACTGGCTAACTTCATTTCATAATCTTAATACTGAAAGCAGTTATCATTTATCTATCTAGCAAAAAAGCACCAAAAGAATTAAGGATTAATACTTACTGATAAACACCATTATATACTAGCAATTGAGTGACCACGGTTGCCAAGAAAGCGATTCCTACTCCAAGGCCAAAACCACTTCTAGATCTATCAAAAGTCCACCACAGTCCAATGGATAGTGCAGCCAGTGTAAGAGACAACTGTATGTTGTTATCAAAATCCACTTTCTGAGATCAGTGTTAAGAAGTCATCTTAAAACTTATAGTCAAACAGTATCATCTGTTCATTTTTCTAAATAAGAGATGCCTCTGTTGAGAAGGGAATTAATTGCTTCTACTCAAGTACATTCAGTCTTTTAGTACAATGTACAAAGCTAGGTAGGATTAAAACTGTCTCCAGTATTTACTTAATACCAGATACATAAAAGACATTAATCAATAGATGCTACCAACCTGTAACGCCTCAAAAAAAAAAAAAAGTCTATATACATTCCCAATTATAAGGCTTTACCCATTATTTAAGAAATGCTTTCTTTGCTAAAAATGTAACTGGAAGCCTCAGAACACAAGTATAGCTAAAGAAACCCACTTTTGCAAAAAAAGGAAACCAATATTACTTCTCCAACAGGTTTAGAATTACTTGAGAATCATACAGGAACTTGAAAATAGAAGAGTTGACAGCTATTTAACAGGGTACCACATTCTCTCTATGATTTACTGACAGACACATTTTATAATAATGCAGTTCAGAAACAAGAGTACCAAGGACACAGTATCCCTTTCTATTATGTCAACTGTTCTAGTTTTAATTTGTTGAGGATAAAGCCTTGAAGTGAACATTATCTTACAACCTGCCAAGCTATTTTGGTGCCTGAGACTTTCTGGTATAGGACAGTTTGCTCAAATGATATTTTATTTTCATCACCTACTTAAGCATCTATTCACAAATGTATGGCCCTTTTCCACACCAAAATCTCTGGGTAAAATGAAGCTTTACAAATTCAGTTCTCTCATCTCTGTGCTAGAGGATTACAGTAAAGAAATTAATTTCGGTTGTCATTAAAAGGGCATTATCTATGTCCCAAAGGCCATATCTTGGCTCTATAAGCAGTTACTGGGGAAGCCAGGGGAGGTTGGGAGGAACACATATCACCAAACTGGCCATGCTACAAGTATAGAGAAGTCCAAAAAAAAAAAAAAAAATGCATACAAAGCCATTTCCCACTTCCTTCATCACTCTGTTTTTTACCGTTTCCCCACCCCTACCAAGCCAGTATCCTAAACACCCAGGTTGCTTATTTCTCAGCATCTCAGGACTATTGTAAGCAACTCCCTCAAAGTCCTTCCTTGTTAAGGCTTGATTTAAAAAGAAACCTACAGTTCATATGGGTATGCTTTCTGGAAAAGCTTTTCTGATTCTTTAGGTGTCATTATACTTAAAGTTCAAAGAAAAAGTTTAGAGCTCTAATTTCCCTATGAAATAAACACTCATGTAAAGAGTGGAATTTGGTGTTAAATGAGTTTCATGTTTGCTAACTAAACTTCATTAAAAGTCACAGTGAAGCAAGGAGGCTTCCAGAGTAAACTGATACATCAATCTGAAAATAGTGCCATATGATTTTGTAAAGTCTAAGTAACCTAATATTAGAAGTGCATGCTATAAATTTGGTAAATATTTTGGACTTTGCTTAAAGGACAGCAGAACATCTAAGATTGCTATATTTAAGTATTTCATTGAGAAAGAAAGTCAACAAAGCAAAGAATTTAAATTTATTAAGTTTTTACAATTTCAGAAAAGGCTATATTTCTCCGCTTAAAAACAAAACTCGAAGTGGAAATGTCTGAGAGAGAAAGGTCTAATCTACCCGATAGGAACTGACACAGTTATGAGACTCCTAGGTAAGAAAATGAGATGTTCTTAGACTTGAGTGAGGCTCTCTAGGGACTGTTCTCAGCTCTGCTGCAACGTCGCAGTATAAATGACTTAGTAAATTACCTAACCTCTCTAGCCTCCATTTGTCTTATTAACTTTACAAAGAAAATGTGGAACTAGGTGATTTCTAGGTTCTCCTCTAGATATAATAGTATATAATCTTATCTTTTTAAGCCCTCCTGACTACTAGATATTTTATAAAATCTTAAATCTCAAAAAGTTCGCCAAAATAAACATGTGGAAATGTCCTCAATACAAAAGGAAATTAATAATCACAGCTACTGAGTGACTTATAAATTCACAGACCTCCAACAGCCGGCACAACTGTGCAGTGGAAGGCAGATGTGTTTTCAGAATCTAGGACCCTGCTCCTTTCTAAGGTTTCTGCCCCCAAGCTTATCTGAAACACCTCAGTACTTTTTGTGAAAGATGCAGGGATCTGATATATGGCCAACACTCTCTCTCCAGCTAACTCTGCCAGCCCTGAGTCCAGTGCAGAGTTACAAAAGCAAACTTTTGGCAGCCTGGGTCCCACTTCTCGCTCTTCCAAGTACCCAAGGCTCCTGCCGCCTTCATTGTCTAAACACCTCCTAGAAAAAGACAGGAATAGCATTTCCCAGTTCTTCTTCTACCAAGGAAAGTCAGAAGGAATGCAGAGGCAGTAGAAGAGACAAAACAAGAGGGATGACAGGAGGAAAACTTTATGAGGGCAAACATTTTTTTCTGGACAAAGAAGGTAGAAGGGAGAAAGGAAACAGGAGTTATCTGGGACACTGTAAAAATACTCATCAATCATCAAATAAAATGTCCAAATCTTTAAACAATAAAACTTTAAAAAGATGTACCTTAGGGAAAAAACTTATTTTTGGCCAAGGTCTAAGTTGGATATTTCTACTTATGCCATTTGTGTGGTTTGTTGGTATTGATTAAAACCAATGCATCTACCTTAAAAAAAAAAAAAAAGCTTCTTTAAGTTAAGAAAAACAAAAGACAATCAGAATAGCACCTGAAGCGACAACATGTCCTTATTGGCAATTTTTAAATGAAGAAAGAAATAGAGAAAAAAATTCCTTTGAAAGTGTACCAGTTTCAAGTTTAGAATTAACTACATGGAAGTAATTAAGTAACCAAATTTAAGACAAACAAGTAATTTTTTTAAATGTGCAAAGTTTCTAAGTGATACTGAAAAATATGAAATTAAATGAAAGGCTATACCCCACTCTATAATTGCATAGCTGCTACACTGATACTTCAACAATGTGGTTCACATTCTTCTTCTGACTAAGTAGGCATATCACAATTTGACAACAGTGAAGGTGCAAGGGGCTGTTTAACCTTTGGTTTGTTGGAAGCTGCTTTCTTATTATGCATTTCATTACAGAGTAAAGGATACAGCGCTGGCATGATTTATACCAACGAAGACTGCTACACACCGCATTACACTGGACCACTCTCTTTTAAATTTATGTGGTTCTCCTAGATGTCTGTCAATGCAGGGGTATAATAACCCAATCACAGCTGTGGGGAAAAAAAAAGAAAGAAAATTAAGTTATCTCCAATGTTGCACTGGCAACACTTAAACTAAAAGAATCACTACAACCACCACAAGCATTTTAAAGATTCTTAAAAAAAAAAAAAACTAAACAAGTTATTTCACATCAATCACTAATATTTTTTAACTTACCTTCCAAAATAAACGAAATAAGGATAACACCAATGAAGAAAGTACTGCGAGTGATTACAACATTCAAAATTATAATAAACAAAACACTCTTCAAATGTATGATTCATAATTTAGCAGACTAGACTAGATGATTCATGCTACTTTCCTACTACTGATATCTACGAGACCTGAAAAGTATCAAAACAGCAAAGTCATGTTCTCTAAACTACAAACCATAAAACAGGTATTACATGCCACAATTCTAAAGAGAATCTAGAAGCATAAAAGTGTGCAACAAGCTCATCACACACACGATGTTCTGATGGTTCTTGCTGGCCTCTTACGTAGATCAGTCTCACCCCTACCAGCTTCCCGTCAGTCTTCTGCATCTAGCACCTTTTACTGACACTCCTTTCCACTCTGGCCCTTTAATGAGGCTGTAGGTCATATTGTCCAAGCAGAAAAACTCACAATAGAAATCTACAGGTAAGACTCATTCTACACATAGAAACAATGGAGGAAACAAGGTATACAGGAATTTAAAATTTTCAGTTAAATTTTAAATGCATAGTTAAAAGAAAAGAAATTATCTTAGTACTTTTCTTAGTTTTGGAAAGAACACCTTGAATGCTGTGTAATTAGTTACACATAACTGTATATAAAATGTTAATGATTGAGTCCCAAAATCTTCTTATCCCTTTCTTAAATATTTGTCAAGCCTCAACATTTTATTCATTTAGGGGGAAAGAATTTTAAATGCTAAATTAGCTATTAAGAAGACTATTTAATGAAAACATTCTAACTTTCCTAAAAACAGATTGATTATGTTGTGCCATTCTGGCAATAAAGACACTATTGTCACATCAGTTGAAAGCATGTTTAAAATATCAAATACCACTTAAGAGGAATCATGAAATTACAATGCCAAAATCTAAGTGCTTAAGGGATGGGAAGCCCTCCCTCTACCCAGTATTAGCTAGCTATATCTCACAGGCAATGTACTCACTCTTCAAAGAAAAACTGAAACCAATTAGTATCAAAAACCACAGGCTAGCAGATCAATGGTGCAGCATTTGAAAAAGGCTGTGTGACCACCCTTCTATCTCAAGATGAGATGCTGCAATACTGTATGCATTTTCTAGTCCACAACTCTTTTGAGTTAGGCATTTGATGAGTATAGATGGCTCACAGAACATCAAGAGATTAACAACATATCTCAGCAATGCAGAACTCCAATAACTATCAGTAAATCCAGAAGTTTCATATTACATTCCTATTTAAAAGGCTGCTCCAAAATCCTCTGAAGATTAACTGACAGCATTTCTAAATTTCTGTATTACAAATAAAACAGCAACAAGCATCCCTAACAGTTGAAATGTAATTAAATGAATACACCTCTTGTTTTTCTCAAGGGGTCATAAAACTAACAGCTCATTTGCCACCCCACCCATCCATATATATATCCTCCCTTTGCCTGTTGCTGAGCAAAGTCAACTAAGAGCAGGCATTCCAAGTCAATTTTTTTCGGCAACTGATGCCATAAGTAAAGAATTATCACATAGAGAATACTGACATGTGTGTGCAAAGATCTAAATAAGTAAAATTGACTATATTTTTATGCATGTGATGTCAGACTCGCAAGTGAGAGACAACTGAGGAGAGAAAGCAAAAACACAAAAAGAAATTTAAACTGCCACACTGCCAACCCTGGGATTTGCCAATAAAAATCAAATCCATTGAGTATGCATGGTTCTCAGTTGCTCACTGAGAGGAAGAATTCAAAGAAGCTTGTCACTTCCTATTAAATGTCTTCTTTCTTTCCCTTAAATAAAGGCATGGCAGAGTCTGATAGCAATATATACAACACTGTGAGGTTCCACTGTTTGAGAGCTCAGCAGAATATGTCTGGGCCTCTTTTCCTCTTCCTGTGCATTTTTTTTTAAAAAAGAAACAAGAAAGACTGTTAAAATCATGCCGGTGTAAAATCATATGCAAACACAGTCCTGCTTATAAATCAAATGGTTCTCTGATAAAAAAAAAAATCACATTTCTTGTGATATCTTTAAGTTATTTCCTGGTGACTAGTTACAGTCTACCAAAGCTAAACACTAAAGAAGTTTGTAAAATATCAAGTAGTAAGCCATCATTTTTTTATGGGAATGTGCTTAATGCAGTGAGGCACTAAAAGGAACACAGCTAAAGCCAGTCATTTTGTAAGAAAACAGGAACTAAATAAACGAAAACATGCCATGAGATATACTTTGATGGAAAACTACAAGATAGGATTTTCCTTCAACAAATACTTAAGCCCTGACAATATGTCTGGTTATTTGGTATTTGCTGGAGATTTTAAAAAGCAAGTTTGGGTGTGGTGGTTCATGCCTATAATCCCAGAACTTTGGGAGGCAAAGGCGGGTGAATCATGAGGTCAGGAGTTCGAGACCAGCTGGCCAACACGGTGAAACCCCATCTCAACTAAAAATACAAAAAATTAGCTGGGCGTAGTGGCAGGCACCTGTAATCTCGGCTACTCGGGAATCTGAAGCAGGAAAATCGCTTGAAGCCCGGAGGCAGAGGTTGCAGTGAGCCAACATTGTGCCACTGCATTCCAGCCCAGGCGACAGAGTGAGACTCTATCTCAAAAAACAACAACAAAAAGGCAAACAGCAAGATATGATTCCAACTCCAAAGTGACCACAGAAACAATTAAATACAATCCTGCATTAACGGGAGGACACAGAAGCCCCCAGGCTTCTCCTTGCCTGCGCTGGGGGAAGGCAAGGTGCTGGGCTGTCAGAAAAGCTTCCCAGAAAGAGGTGACCTTTGCGGCAGGAACACTCAGCAGTAAATGGCACAGAAACAGTCCCCTCATCAAAGGGAGATGACTGAGGACAAGCGACAACAACTGGAAACTGCTGGTGTTACGAGGAAGCTGTAAGCTTCTGACACAAAGGGAGCTGCAGGGTCCAGAAAGACTGAGGAAGATAAAAGCAGGCAAGGGCCATATTATAAAGACTTTACCCTACAGACAACGGGCAATCAGGAAAACAATCTCATCACTGTTGCACCACAGAGAGGCCATCTTCTTAGCAGTGAGGGTACCACACAAGGGGGCTGGGTACAAAACTAGAGGCAGGACGAGAAAAGATTAAAGACTACAAGCACAGCCCTTGAGGGGTGGACCAAGAAAGAACAGAGGAAAGACGTAAAACTTGGAAACTGGATGTAGAAAGGAAGAAAAAGGAAGGAATCTTACAAGGCTCCACAGGGCAATGGACTGCACAACCAAACAGGAAAGACCTTTCTCTTCTTTTTACATTAGACGTTACTTTCATGCATTTGGACACAACCAGGCTACTTGTGATTTTTGAGGCAACTTCTCTACTTATTTTATCCACACAAGTTGTCTTTTTTCTATTTATTCTTTGGAAAGATTTCTTTGTGGCCCTTAACAATGCTGAAAAGATTTCTAATTCCAATTCTAGTCCACGGAATACATAAAGAAGTTAACTTGTAACATCAGCATTATCAAACTAAAAATACAGAATTAAGAAAAAAATGTCATCAAAATTAGTTTACCAAAGTTCTCTATTAGTTGTCCCTCCAGAAGCACCACTAGCAAATTTTCCAGGATTGTGCTATAGAGAAAAGTGGCAAATAACCAGGAGCACTTTCCACACACAGAAGGTGGTGATTCTGGAGCCCCTCTAAAAGGTAGCTGCTCAGTCTATGAATGTTAGTTGAATAGGAAAATCAAAGGATGACTATCAGTTTTTCTGACTTCGGATGGTAAGAATCTAGAGGGGTCTTGAAAATGCATGCCAGTACATATACACAAAAACATATACATATTATATAGATGCACAAACAAATGCATTATGTTTCTTACATCATTCACTTCTTTCCCATTATATTTTCCCTAAACTAATGATGCGGGGGATGGCAGAGCAGAGATTTTGCAAGAATCCATTTTCCACCTTTGGCACCTTACACAAATCTGATACCTATCACTTTCGTCTACTAAACACCATGACTTAACTAACAAAATTGGTAGCAGAATGGGCTGGAATCTAAATGTCCTAATGCCTCTCTACTTTCTTTTGCCCAAGGACCTTATGATACAAACTACTTTCAGAAGAAATACTTAAGCAAGAAATGTACCTGGAAATGCACCAAATGAAAAGGTATGAGGCTAAGTTTGTAAGTGTGGTAAACCTAGTGGCTGGGAATAGAAAGGAAAGTAGTGGCTGAACTGTGGTATTGGCATTTGAAATTTTCCTTCCTAACACCTAAGTTAATGGCGAAAGTGCTGACATTACAGAGGCAGAAGGACCACACAGCAGGTGCAGCCCCATTACTCTTCATAGTGGAGGTACAATGAAACCTCAGCTAAGTTCTCCTGCCCCAGCCCCAACTGCACAACACATGCCAGGGAATTCCATCTAGGTCTGGCACCCAGTCTGGAGACTTGAAAAGAGGCATCTGGAGTAGGGGAAAGTGTGAGCAGCTTCTTCTTCCTTCCCCAGCATGTGACATATGGGCCCCAGTCACACCATTCACTGGCTCTGGGACTCTAAGTTCACTGGTTTTCTTTCTTCATCTCAGTGAGTGTCCTCATCCTCCCAAGACAGGCACAATGCCAAATATCTCTCTCCCAAAGTTACTCTACAGAACCCTGGGATTAGAGGATGAACCTAACACATTAGCAGACATTCAATAAGCAACACTTTCCCTTTTTTGACCTTCCCTTTGTTCTGTCCTGAAAAGACACATATGTTCTTCCACATTCCAAAAAACTTCTACTGGCAGCCAGACTATACCACAGAAGAAAAGAAACAAAGAACTAAAAAAAGTTGAGAAAACTTTTTTCCTCTGAATTTAAATGCAAGAAAAATGCATGAGGACCAGCACATACAACAGAGAGTGATACAGTATAGCTTGTTTTTTTTATTTGGACTGCTTTGCCTTTTCTCTTGGAGGATGATAACCCTGGGGAAACTAAGAATCACTGCCTTCATGACTTGACTTTTAATGTGGAACACGGTAATAGTGAGACATCAGTATATAAACACACTGAAACCTTACTACAATGATGCCCCACTATCCATCCAACAGGATTCTGTAATTGCCCAGTAAGTTTCACAAGGCTATTCTAACACTTCTCTAAACTGCAACCTCCAGCTCTTGGATGGAAGCCAAGAAGGACCTATATTATGTTGCAAGATATTCATGCATGTATGTTTAGTATGAGGCACCCAATGGGTATTTAGAAAAGCAATTTTCTTCCTCAATCAGAATTATCTTCTGCCACATAATTATGGATTCCTATTACTTCATTATTAAAAACAGTATTAATCTATTGGTCTTAGTCATTAGAAAATGCTAAAGAGCTATGCATTATGGAAGTATGGCATCAATAAAGTATTGAGAAATGCTCTACTCTATGCATTCATTGCATACTGCCCACCACCAAAAAAATATCTAAAGTAACTAACAGGATAATAATTTTTTGGGGGGGAGGGGATCGATTCTCTCTCTGTCACCAGGCTGGAGTGCAGTGGCAAATCTTGGCTCACTGTAACCTCCGCCTCCCGGGTTCAATCGATTCTCCTGCCTCAGCCTTCCAAGTAGCTGGGACTACAGGCGCGCACCACCACACCCAGCTAGTTTTTGTATTTTTAGTAAAGACAGAGTTTCACCATGCTGGCCAGGATGATCTCGATCTCTTGACCTCGTAATCCACCTGCCTCAGTCTCCCAAAGTGCTGGGATTACAGGCGTGGGCCACCATGCCCAGCCTAATAGGATAACAATTTTAAGCAGAGAAAGTCGACCTTATTGATATCTTTAAACATTTATTTTCTTATTTTTTTTTGGAGACGGAGTTTCGCTCGTTACCCAGGCTGGAGTGCAATGGTGCGATCTCGGCTCACCACAACCTCTGCCTCCTGGGTTCAAGCAATTCTCCTGCCACAGCCTCTTGAGTAGCTGGAACTACAGGCACGCGCCACCATGCCCAGCTAATTTTTTGTAGTTTTAGTAGAGACGGGGTTTCACCATGTTGACCAGGATGGTCTCGATCTCTTGACCTCGTGATCCACCCGCCTCGGCCTCCCAAAGTGCTGGGATTACAGGCGTGAGCCACCGCGCCCGGCCTAAACATTTATTATTCTTAAGGTACATATAAAAACAAGATACCAATAAAAAAAAAAGCCTATCCAAAAATCTAAAAAAATACAAGAAGAAGCTTTAAACTTGAATTATTCAAGTTTTCAAGTTTTTATTACTTCAGAAACAAGACCACAACACACACATCAAACCCTTAAAACCAAATGGTGGTGCTCACCATCAAACTAACATAAAATAACACTTATGGCCAGGCGCGGTGGCTCAAGCCTGTAATCCCAGCACTTTGGGAGGCCGAGGCGGGTGGATCACGAGGTCAAGAGATCAAGACCATCCTGGTCAACAAGGTGAAACCTCGTCTCTACTAAAAATACAAAAATTAGCTGGGCATGATGGTGCGTGCCTGTAGTCCCAGCTACTTGGGAGGCTGAGGCAGGAGAATTGCTTGAACCCAGGAGGCGGAGGTTGCGGTGAGCCGAGATCGTGCCATTGCACTCCAGTCTGGGCAACAACAGCGAAACTCCGTCTCAAAAAAAAAAAAAAAAATAACACATATATGAGTTGAAGAAAGAACAAAATTAAGAGATTAAATGCCTCACCCCTATGGGAAATGAGATTGTTTTTAGAATTAAATGTTAAAAGTTTACAGGTCAGACAGAAATGAGACACAAAGGAGTACAGACTTTATGAGTCCACTTATACTGCATTCCAAAACAGAGAGAAATAATTCATGGCAACAGAAAACAGATTAGTGGTAGCCTGAGGCTGGGGGTGGGGAATGGACTGCAAGAGGACACCAGAGACTCTGGAGGGTGATGGAAATGTTCCACAGCTGGATTGGCAGTGGCCACGGGACTGTATGCATTTGCCCGAACACATCAAGTTGTTCACTTAAAACAGGTCTAATGTATTATATCTAAATTACATCTCAACATATTTTCTTTTAAAAAAAGGTTTATTGCTCAGACAATGTCCATGATCATTTACCCTACTTCCTTTCTAAGCATTACAGAAACATCCTACACATACCTGAAGCTGTGCCACAGCAGGGTGGTACCCACCATGCAGAAGAAAAGATGCTTGCAATCACATCAGGTGGAAAGAGTGTCACATTTCTCTGAATCTGAAGTAAATTTAACACTAATGCAAGAAATACTCCAATAAAAAATAGCACTACTCCTCGAATCATCAAGTTCACACTCTGGCTAGTGACAGATGAGATATATGGGCCACACTTTTTGGGCCCAGGTGACTCTGTCTCTCCTTCCGCCATGGTTTCATAGGTTCAGTAAGCCGTTTAAAAAAAAAAAAAGGGAAAAAAAGAAAGGCTTCCCAGCTGAAAAGCTCAACTGTCTGTGAATCAAAGACTGACGTTTCAACAATACCACATCTTGTCCTAAAGTAGGACCTACCAGAAATCCTGCAAGAGATAAGAAAAAAGAAATTAATGTATATTTACTACATATTATTATAATTTTACTGATTTCAATGCTAGTTAATTTAAATGGACAAATAAGAAAATGACAAGCATATATACTAATTTCTGCAAATTATTAACACTTATTTATTGAATAAGAAAAAGGTTTTAAAGTATTCTTATATGCAATATGTAACAAAATATAAAGTACTACCCTTACATTTACTAGGACAGCAAAAGTGACTTAAGAGACCTAAAGGTTAGAATCATAGTAAAAAACAGCTTGCTCCATCTCTGAGAAAAGCAGAACAGGTAATCTGACACCTCCACTAGAATCTGGAGGGTCAAAACTCGGCTCTCTATTTTTTCTCCCTAAATCTCTAAGCCTATCAGTTACAATAGTGTATTTTATATTTTACAGATAAGCATATTCTGACTGAAGACGCTGTATTTTCGCAATAAAATGTGACTTGCTTATGAGGGAAACTTCCACAGAAAAGCAAAATGACCTGTTGCAATGTTTATTGCTTATATATTTGGATATCTGCACAAGAACATTCTACAAAACCAGATCACCGTGCACACACCCACGTATACACCAACCACAGAAACCAGACCTGACTCGCTCTCCCCAGGGGCACAGCTGTCCCCCATCCCTGCCTCAACAGTCTGCCCTTGTTGCAATCACAGAGGGGACTGTAAGAAAGCTGGAGGATGAAGCGAAAGAAAGGAAGTGAAGAAAATGAAGAACAATCTAATGGCTAGATTCTACGGAGTTTTATCCACCTTGTCCCTGACTCCTAAAACCCAAAACTTTGCTACCACAATCAGTCTAGGTATTTGTTCGTTCCTCTAACCAGTGATCTTTCCTTTTAGGGCTTCTTATGTGCTGTTTTAAGCACCTGACATATGGCAATTCATTTAACCCCCACAATAACCTTCACAGGTAAGAGCAATTACTATGCCCATTTTACAGATGAGGCAAAAAAGCAAAGCAAGGTTAAGTCACTTGACCTAGTTCACACCTCCAGTAACAGGTAAACCTGTGATTCAAAACCATGCAGTCTGACTGCAAAGCCCTCATTCTTACCCTGATGTTCAATCTCCCAAACTATAACATATTTGATGTGTTTTCTATGAATACTAACATACTACACAGGCTATTTTGTAATTTACTTTTATCCCATCCAACAATATATCTTGGGCACTTTCGTAAGTCAGTACAGAAATATTTCCTTCAATCTGAAAGCAGTTTATTTTTAAAAGTATAGCACTTATAATGACTATAATTACAGGTACAGTTGCTTTATGGATTGTAAATGTTTTATGAAGGTCTTATTCACTATTATATTAATATCACTGTGTCTATGCACCCAGAAAAGTTCCTGCTTAGCTCACAGTGGGAGCACCACATAATCATATTTGCTTAACTACATTGGGTTAACTCTTTCTGAATCAAACCATATAGGGTTAACTAGGCCTTTCTGAGAACAAACCTAGCTCCTAATCATCACTTAAAATATACACATTTCCTTTAAGTTTTCCAGTCTCAAACAACCTTCAAACAAATTTTGGAACAAAACCCTCAGGTAAACTGCAGAGAATGGGGCTAAATTACAAGTAATTAGTAAGAAAAAGAGAATATTTGTAAGTACTAGTAACTTCCATAGCCTATCAGTTCCATGTGATAAACACTTAGACAATGGGCCTTTTTACTGAGGCTGTGCCACATCAAAGCTCTATGTCCAACATTCAAGAGGAAATTCTGTTCCCAAGCTAGTTCTCACTGATCTACTTAAGTCTATAATGTAATTGAACTCTTGGCTTAAAGGATTAAAGAACAGTATAGCTAATTCATGGGAAAACATACTCTAAATGCCAACTGAAAATGCCCAGAAAACATCTCCACCTGACCTGGTCCTGCAGGCTATTCCTTGCTGTGAAATCCAGGCACATGAGCATGCCATGCATTCCGGTTGCTTTTAGCAAGGTTCAGTAGCTACAAAGCTCTCTGTGATCATCATCATCTGGTTGCTTTTAGCAAGGTTCAGTAGCTACAGAATCTCCATCATCAACATCATCATCATCATCTGGTTGCTTTTATCAAGGTTCAGTAGCTACAGAACTCTCCATCATCATCATCACCTGTTGCTTTTAGCAACGTTCAGTAGCTACAGAATCTCCATCATCATCATCATCATCATCATCATCATCATCATCATCATCTGGTTGCTTTTACCAAGGTTCAGTAGCTACAGAACTCTCCATCATCATCATCATCATCACCTGTTGCTTTTAGCAAGGTTCAGTAGTTACAGAATCTCCATCATCATCATCATCTGGTTGCTTTTACCAAGGTTCAGTAGCTACAGAACTCTCCATCATCATCATCATCATCACTCTTTATAGGGCACCCATTTATAGAGGGCCTACTCCATGCCGGACATATAGTAACTTTACTCTTAAAAATAATCATAAAGGTAGGAATTATCATCCTCATTTTACAGATGCGGCTACCAAGTCAGAGATTCAGCAACGTGCTTATGGTTACATGACATGCAGTATCAAAACTGAAATTTCACCTCAGGTATAACTGACTCCAAAACACATCCTCTTGCCTCTATACCTTTAATCCCATTCCATCTCAACTGCTCAGACTTCTATTTGGCACATGGATCTATACAAAGGTGTTTGGTTACTGAAAAGATGGTTAGATGTTGAAACACCATCTCAATTACAATTTACTCTAAGGTACTAAGCCAATACAAGTAGGTGACTATACAAGTGCACAAAGACAATGAGAATAAATGCACAAACACCTTGACATTTTCTTTAAAAGTACTAGATGAAGGCGTAAAAAATGTTTTAAAGTAAAAAGAAAAAACAGCAAACCAACACACTATATGAGAACATAGTTGACTATTTACTTCCCGAAATCCCAATAGACACAACACATTCCCCTCATCTGCTGCTAACAGCTACTAGAAGATGGGCATAGTTTCTGAGTAACCCAAAGTGAGAGAGTCTATCATTTGTTTCTGTTTTTTATTTTTCCAAAAGGGAATTAATGGAAAGGGGTATTTTGTGTTTAATAGTATTTTTTAAAAAGCAAAATAACTTCAGTTTTAAAAAGCTATTTCAGTCATGCTAGCCCCCATCTCACACTCACCAGCATTTGTCAAAGGGCACTGGCGTTTTAGGCAGGACAATTATTTGCTGTGTGAAACTCTAAGCACTGTAAAACATTTAGTATCCCTGGCTCCCACCCACGAAATGCGCCCTCCCCTATTTATGATAACCAAAATTGTCCCCACAATGAGAGCCACTGAGTGCTAGAGACTTCATTTTATTTCAAGACAGCTAGATTTTCTAAACTGTTTGTGTTTTCAGCCACAGCTGTTTATTTAACCTTTCCTGGCAGTGCTTGTTTAGTTCCTACTTCACCCGAAAAGGTTTCTTTAAAAATAATACACTTGTTTGATGTTTACTTAAATGAGATTAGAAAAGCTAATTTTGTAACTACATCATAATACAATAGTATATAATTACTTGGGACAAAAAATAAAAGCTTTAAGAAATAGCAGGGAACTGGGAGATCATCTATTCCAAGGGGTATGAGATCCCCATACAAAATAAAAAAGTTGCATATATGTGCATTTTTCGGGGATGGTTCCACAATTCGTATCAGGTACTCAAAAATGTCCATAATCCAAACAAAGTAAAGAACCAGTAATCTAACAGTTGTTCTCTCACTCTAATATCACAGCCAATTAGATGCAAAGTGGTCACCTGGAATAGCAAGATCAAGACATCCGATCAGTTCTTATCACCACAAACATGTATAGTGAATGCCCAAAAATGACCACACTCATCAAATGGATAGAGGCTTCCACAAAACCATATTACCCCCTACCATGCAACAATGAAATTCCTTTAAAAGCGTGTTTATAATATCAGTCACACACTAGAGGAGTGGGTTATTTTCAAGGGAAAGTAAGTTCCTTTAAGTTTACTTTGAAGTTTGTTTTTCTGATTACGTACTGACACCATTTTCTTAAAACAAAATGCATCTATACCTTTAAATATTAGTCTTACATCAATGATAAACTTGATGCTCCAAAAATTTTTTTGATCTATATTTGAAAAATTTAGATTACTTGATAAATAATTTGCTGACCAGGGAGGAAGTCTCTGGTATAAAGATACTATTTAAAGGACAAGATCTCAATAGATTCTCGAAAATAATCCTGGCAAACAGGTGCTATTAGTTCTCATTTTATGAAATCAAATAGGTTAAGTTACTTTCTAAGAGCACAGAACCGTTACCAGGTAGCACCAGGACTAGGCCCACCCACTCTGACCCCAGGTCGAGTTCTTCCTGCTTCACCATATTGCTTCCATCCACAAACATAGTACAAAACAATTTAAGTGCCACACAAGAAACCATTTTTAAAATCACGTTGGTAAACTACCATTCATACCAAATTAATGTTTTCAACAATTCACAAAGAAAAACTTTCCACCAGACTTGAAAAATCCTACCTTGAACTCTGGCCTAAAATTTCTGGAAAGTACAATACTGAACAAAAAGAAAAACAGTTCAAATAATTTGCATAGATCAATGATGAATCATCAATACTGGAAAAACATTATTCCAGGTGTATGGCTGCCTATTAATGGATTGATAGTATTACTTTTAGGTTAAAAAAGAAGATTTACAAGTGATTATGGGCTTTGTGAATAAAAATTGAAGTTCATGTTGGCTACTGAAACAACTTAGAAGCAGCAAGCATTTGAAAACACATACACAAAATCTTCTAGTAACCTTAAGAACCTGTTGCATTGTAACAACCTGAACACCTCCAAAACCAAATGACCAGACCATTCCTTCCAATGACTAGCAGTCACAGAAGCATTTTTACTCCCTCAGATAACCCTGTCTCTTCAGGTGCTTAGGTCACATACGCTACTAAATAATAAAGTTAAATTACTATCTCACATCTTTTTCTTCATATACTCTGTCAATTAGAATAGCATTCTTGAAATAGAATAAGCACTAACGTTAGAAAAAAACAGACTTAAATCAATGAAACAGTTTAATTCTCCCTAAATAAAAACACATCTACATGTATCATGGGCTAGGGACGTTAAAAACTTCTAGGAAGAAAAAAAATATATTTGCCTTATAAACACTCTAACTCTTTCAACTTTAAAACCCAAACACAGAAACCAGTAAGCTAGCTGCATTCACACTCCATTACAGCTTTTAAATATCACATCTCCGTGCCTAAAAAAGCTACTCCATCGTTTCGAGATAAGTTTCTGAGAACAAAGAAAACTCTTTAAATTACTGAACTGCATTTAATCCTTTGCTTTTCCGTGTGACCATCTGCGAAAGCAACAGTTGTCAGTTAAACAGAATCAACCTCTTTCCCAAATGTACATGAGTCACTGCTTGGTCACTGTATAGCAGATATGAACTGAGAACTATGACATAACACAATGACAAACCACAGTACTGAGCACAAAGTCCAGGGAAAGAAAGAAAGAGAGAAACAGGAAGAGCACACGGCTATTTTTTTGTCTTTGGGGCCCCCATTAGTAGCATTCCCTTCATCCATCTTCATTCAGTGCTTCACTAACAGGACCAAACCCAAAAGTTAGAAACAACCGTCTAGCTACTGTTTGGCTGCTTTTATTTTTTCTGCACCAGGACTGGAGCACGCATTCCCCTGCAGTCCTCTGCTCCACCGCAATACTGATACCAAACAGTATCACCCGCCCAGCTGCCAAGCCTAACCATTCCTTCTTAAAGCCCTTCTTTATCAGTCCTACAAAACAGCAAGTTCTTCGTGGTACATTTTCCTAGACTATCTAGCTAATATCATACTTTAACAACTTTTTCCAATGTTAACTGGACACGGGTCATATCACTTAAGTGTTAGCACCATTGCCGGCGCCCACCCCCATAATCCACACTGCCTTCCTTCTCCATATTGCCAATCTCCACTGAGCGACCCTAAAACCCAGTAACTATCATCAAATCCACCTCTAGGCCCTGGCAAGAATTCTTTGGCTTTACCCAAACACCTATTCCAAAGGTATCCAATTACAGTCCAAAATGCCAGAGTCCTACTCCTCAACCCAATGCCCTATCTTTTTAGTGGATTCTAAACTTACTACGATATCTACCTTCTTTGGATCCATCCCCTGCCCAAGCCTGAGTCGTGTCTCCCAGGCTACAAGTCTCCCATTCCTGGCAGTTCTCTGTTTTGACAGCTCGCTGACCTCCACCTCATCAGACCTCTGGGTCGCCCTTCCCGCCGTCCTCCAGCCTTCTTCCCGCTCAGACACTCAACCACAGTCCGAGGGGCCTCGACGCCTCCTATGACCCCTCCCCGACCCCGCAGTCCCCTACTGGACCCAGCGGACTCCACTAAGGTAAGCGGAGCCCCTGGCCCTGCAGGCCCATCAGTGGTCCTGGCTCCCCACACCTGCCACCAGGGTTCCCAGGCTGCAAAAACATAAGTAGTTCTTCTTCCCGAGGGCCACCCTTCTCCTCAGGCCGCTTCCCTCAGCACCACGTCACCTGCGCTTAGCCGGGAGACCCCCAACTCACCCCCGCCTCCGCCATCTTCTGGGACCAGCCCCCGTCCCCCCCACCGCCTCTTCCTCCTCCACTCCCACAACTCCGCCCGAGCTCCACTGCGCTTGTGCAGCTAACGCGGCCACGCGCAGGCGATCGGGGCAGAGGAGCTTCCGGTTCCTGCCGGGAATAAGAGGTGGACCAGCGAGCCGGGGCAAAAGGGCTTCCGGTCTGCGGAAAACGGGCTGGTAGTGGTGGGCGTGGATAGTCGAGGTGACTGGAGGCTGTCGGTCAGCTGTTTGCTGACCAGGCAGTCGTGGGTAATGATGGATGCCCAGACCCTGTGGGCGGAGTAAAGGAATCATGCAAAGAGACACGGACACTCACCGGGAGGCGCGGCCGCCTGCGTGACCCTCATCTCGTAGCCTAAAGGGGCGCGCTCCGGAGCAGGCCGCCGAGTACTTCCAGCAGGACACCGAGCATTATACTCTGCTCCTTTTCCTCCCCTAGTAAGTTATAACTTATTTTGAGAGAAGAGCATAGTTGTCCCTCGTCTCCATGCTACAACACTTCATGCGCTTTTCATTCAAAATCGTTTTTCGAGGACTACCAAGTAACGATTTGGGGGGGGGGGGCAGTTCTCATAAAAAGGGCTTTAGAAGTTTACACCAACAGAGAAAATTTAAAAACCTTTAATCGCTTGTCAGAAGTATTATTTTTCGTTTAAAGCCATACTTTTAGAACATGAAACCAAACCAAACAGATTTTTGGAATTGTGCAGGCGAACTTTTTTTTTTTTTTTTTTTTTTTTTTATGAAAGTGGTGCCATCATTGCAAAAGCAAGCCCTTAAAAGTGCCAAAAGGTATTCATCATAAGAAGTTGCTTCTCTACTCTGGATTTGTTTTTTTAAGCAACTCTTTTTTAAAAAGAGACGGGAAAAAACCTCTCTTGAATGTATTACGTTACTGGGCTATTCCATTTGGGGTAGGTTAACCCAAAACATGTTATGGTTGTGGTAAGGTTACAATGGACTTGAATATTCTAGATGAAATCTGGGCCGAGAGTAAATGCATAATAGTTTTCCAAAGGACTGTCTCCTTTCATTTACTTTGAACTGATAAACAATAAGATGGATTTTTATTTTTCTGACTTTTTTATCTACATTTATTTCTGAAAATTGAAAAAGAATCAATGTCCAACAAAATGTTTCTAGGCAAGTATTGTATGATGCTTCTCTAATTTTTACTATAGCGCTTAGTGTTTTCACTAATGTTTTCTATCGCTCTCAAATTTCACTCCTGTAAGTTTTTACACTACCAGTAAGAAAGATCTGGGCCAATTATACAGAATGGATGATAATTTTTAAAACAAAAGAGAAAGCACTCAGAAAAAAGACAATAATTTCACAGTGTTCTGACATCACGTATTTCCTTAAAGCAATACAAGTCCTGTATGTCTAGTTCATGCCTACTCCAACCGAGCTTTTTTCAGACACTTAGAAATTGCCTTCAAGAAAATCCTTATGGAAAATTTTAACCTAGAAGGGCATTTACTTTAGCTTAAATAATTATTAATCGCAAGTAGTGACAGAACCTAAAAAGCAAAAACCATATAGCAACAGTTCCCAAGATTCCTACATTCAGTGCAGAATGTAAAACCCCCAGGAGAAATACAAAGGGCCATTGTCTTCTTTAACCAGATTTGAGGACAGTTTTCATGGAAGATGTGGTCTTTCAGTGGGCATTGAGGATAAATATGCAGATATGGTAAGCCTGTGCATTCTGGGGGAAGTTCAGAGTTAGAAAAACATGAAACAGATTGTAGAATCTGGCATGTAGAAAGAGGTATGGTGAGACATGTAAGTTCTAAACATGAAGCTCATGAATTTGGACTAAATTTTTGTTATGGAAACATTGAAATCCTAAATTCATTGATGCCAGAATATAAATTGGTTAAGAACATCAAGAAATCATAGTAACTTCGAGTTATTTTGAAGTTGGTGTAACGCAATCAATGGAATGCTGGTGAATGATCCTTGAAACCTGGATTGTAGTTTGGCACTATGGCAGCATGTGTGTAATCACATCCAATAAATTCGGTTTTTTAGGCTTTCCTTTCTTCATCTGTAAAATGAGAGATTGGTCTGTATAATTCCTGAGGTCTTTTTCATAGGTGAAAGTATCAACAATTTTGTAATTCTTGACTTCAAGAAAGGTTTTTTCCATTAGCTTTATATGTTGTTTGGTCTCTCAACAGAACAGATCAAAAGATAAGTTAGAAAACAAAAAGCCCTTTACTTAGCTAATACAAACACCCACAAGTTTTTTGACCTTGCTGGAGTGAGGTATTGTGGGACTCACCTTAGTTATTGCCTACAGGTTGATGACTAAGACATTCAGTAAGCCTCTAAGAACTTTGAACTTGGAAACATTACCCAAATTAAAAACACCCAAAATAATATTCTTTTTAAAATACTGCAATTTTCCTAGTCAGTAGCTAGAACCCCACACACTAGGGACCATTCTACTTTTTTGGTTTTGATTTTTGTTACAGTGTTTCATTGTGAGATATAGCTGAGGGACACAGAAAGTCAAGAAATTTTGCTTTTTGGAGATATCAGGATGGATTATTTATTAATCCAGCTATCACCTGAGCACCTGGCAGGTTCCAGATACTTGGCACTGGACTTCAGGAGGAAATCAGTACAGACAAGGCACCTTCCCTTGTGAAGCTACAGTCCTGTGGGTGAAACACAGTAAACGGTGGAATTAATATATAATTACAAACTGAGATAAGTGCCATGAAGATAGAACATCTCCATACTGTGAAGGAGAATAAAGGGGAATACCTGGTGACTATGGGTTAGTTGAAGTTTGAGAGGGATCTGCTAAGAGCAGGATAAAGAACAGGTGTAAGGGCACAATAGCTGAAAAACTTGGTGCATTCTGGGGATTGAAAGAAAGGCAGAGCTGGGGTAGCAATTGAAAAGAAAATTATAAATTGAAGTTGTATTTTAACATCATGATTGATGTTAATCACTTTCTGTGTGCCAGGCACTATGCTAAGTAAAATCTCATTTTACATGCTCAAAACCCATTTGAAATAGATACCAAATAGCAGATGAGAAATTAAGGCTAAAAGCAGTGATTCTTAACTTTGGCTGCATATTAAGATCATCCATAGATTTAGTAAAAGTTGTAGTGCGTGAGCCCCACCCTCTGTTTATTCTGTGCTCTTTCAATAAATTCCTTGTAAATTTCTAATTTGTAGCCAGTGTTGAGAATCACCAGCTTAATGTTAATTTGTTCAAGGTCACTTTGTAGCTAAGTGGCAGAGAAGGCAGAAATTGAAGCTAGATCTATTGGATTCTAAACCTGATGCTCTTAGCCACTCACTAGTGCCCTGTCAACATTCAAAAGCATATAGTAAACAGCAGTTATGTATGGGAACTCTGTTAAACACTGAGATACAACGATGAGTAAGACAGAGCTCTTGACATCAATAAATTCACTGACTAGTAAAGCAGAAGTTAGGCCAGCCCACATGTACAGAAGCAAGACAGCTGAGAACTCTCAATGAGGTCAGATATGTTTTTCCTTTTTAAGCTAGATTGGTGTAGGTAACTGATGACAGAGTATCTACGTAGGCTGCTAGTGGGATTGTCAGCCGAGAGGTGGCGTAAACTGAACAAGGGCAATGGCGGAGGGTAGAAAGAATCGTCAGGATTTGCTGACTGCTAATGTTGAGAGTGAAGAAAAGACGGTGGAAGATGATTTCAAGGTTTTGAGTTTGAGGGACTAAGCAAAAATAACATCATTGATCTAGAACTAGTACAAGAATTGAATTTCAGGATGAATGAGTTCAAAATACTTGTTGAGCATTCAGGTAAAAATGTCTGGTAGAGCAGTGGAAATGTGCATCTGGAGTTTGAATCAGCAAATTGGTCTAGAAATGAAGATCTGGAATTACTGACTTATAGGAGGTAGTTGAAACCTTGCTTTGCATAACACGTATGCAGTGTACGGAATTTGTTAAAAGATAATAGAGTTAGGAGAAAGAAAAAACCCTGACATTGCCGTATTTGAATATGTCAATAAAGCTATTTTTTATCTACAGTGATATTAAACACAATCAATTCATGATTATCCATGATGAGTTTTTAATACTTTCTAGGCTTTCCCTGGCCACATAGCAAATGTAATAGATGAGATGTAGCCAGGGAATACAAACCAATTTTAAATATTGGCTAAATATTTAAGAAGAATGCCATACGATGCATTCAGAAATGCAGTAGGAATATCCTAGAATGGTGTTTTCACACAAATAATTTTTATATACCCCTCATATTGACTTAAATTATTTTGATCATAATATTACTTAAACCTGAAAAAGCTACAATGTTCTAAACATTAAAACTAGAGGGAGAATTATTAGGCTTAAGCTCATATACACCATAAAAGGAAAACATTTGGAAAATAACTATGAAGAAAAGCATAAAGTAAGTTAAGTGTAAAAGCACAGTAATGTTAAAGGACATCTTGAAATTGGTGTATAATGTCAATATTGAAGTGAGTGGTGGGGGGCGAGGGGAGGTTTGCACATCAAAAGCTCCAAAAAAGGAGGAGAATGAGGACAGTTATCTTTTAGTGGCATAGCATTTGGGGGGCATTTTTGAATGGGTCTGTACGGAAACAATGACAACTAAAGTCAATAAATTGAATGTATATAATGTCAAATGGTCCCTGTAAGGCTTGGTGTGTATCATCAGGCAACAAATAAACTAAACAAAGCCCAAACGAGGTCACTACGGATGAGCAAGCAAATGCAAAATACACCTCTAACATAAAGCCACTGAGGTGTAAAACATCAGAGTGAGAAGACACCTGGAAAGATTATAGACTATAAATTCTTTGTCAGAGAGGCAATGATAGAGACTCAGAATATAAAAGCAACACTAGCTATTAATTATTACAAGGGCCTGTACTATTTGAGGTCAAAAAACATAACAAGGTGTTCTCTACGAGATTTTTGTCCTGCTAATTCACCGTACTGTTGTTGCAGCTGTGGGACACTCCATTCAAACTGAACTCACACACAGGGGAGTTTATATAATGTTAGGTCCCTCCCAAGGACAATGTATGTATTCTTATCTCTAA